AAAAAAAAAAAAAAAAAAGAAAAATCTTTATTCCTATTCACAAATTTTTAAAAGTAATATGGCCAGAAATATGTGATTTTTGGAGCCTTGTTTTCTGTATTATGGAGCTGGTAATTTAATTTAAAAACCCTCCTCTTGAAATAAAATGTAGAAATATTCCAACATTAAATAAAAACAGGAAGAGTTGAGCCAGGTGTGGTGGCACAGGCCTGTCCTCCCAGCACAGGGTGAGAGGAGGCTGAGGCAGGAGGATTGCTGCTGGTTCAAGGCAAGCCTGGGCTACAAAGTGAGCTTGAGACCAGCCTAAACTGCATAGCGAAAACCTGTCTCAGACAAAAGAAAAGAAAAAAGTAAAGTAAAAGGTTTGTTGTTTAGGACGTGTGCGTGGAGGGGGAGCATAAGCAGATACTCTCAGGTGCTAAGATGGTGGCAGTTTGGAGGAGTAAAATAAATTCACTTTGAGCAAAGAATGAAATTTTTAATTCTTGAAAATTGAATTTAGTTCTATACAGAGAAAGCAGCCTCAGATTTTAAATATGGAATCTTTAATCTGGAACAAAGGTGTGAAGATATGAGTAATAAAATCATATATGGAGTAGGCAGGATAAATAGGAATTTTTCATGAAAACACAAATTACTACAATTAGAGGAAACCTCTAGAACTTGAGTAAAATTAGATAAAGAGAAAATAATGCTTTACGCAATGGGTTGTGGTAGAACCCACTATCTTAGGAAATAGGATAGTTAATTTGGGAGTAATTGAGTATCAAGGAAAGGAATGAACCTAACCTGTAGGTCTGTCGTCCATCTTTGGACTGCCATGAAAACTGGTAGATGCTGGCTGCTTCTGGGCCAGACCTACATTAGCAGTTCCATCTTCTTACATCTTTTTATTTTTCTTAGTATATTTATTTATTTTAATTGGCATAAAAATTGTACATATGTGATATTTGCATGCATGTAAGGATCACACCAGAATAATTGGCATAACCATTACCTAGACATTTATTTTTACGTTGAAAACATTCAAAATCTCCTCTGCTAACTATTTGAAATATAAAATGTTCCGTAGAGAGCACTGTTCCTCCTATCCAGTTGTACCCTGTACTGTTAACCAGTCTCTCTTCACCTGTACCTCGTTATTCTTACTTGTTTTTGCTCTGGGTTCCTATAGGCTGAGTATAACAGTGACCTTCATCAGTTTTTTGAGTTTTTGTACAACCAAGGGATCGGAACCCAGTCATCTCCTCTGTACGTATCCTGGGCGGAGCATCTGGAAGCCCAGGGACAGCTGCAGCATGCCAGTGCCATTTTTCGAAGAGGACTTCAGAACAATGCTGAACCTAGAGAGCTATTACAACAGCAGTACAGGTAGTTCCATAATAAAGCTCTTTATGGTATTTCCTACTTTGAAATAGAAAGTGTGCTCTTAAAAATTGTGTTGTTATCTGTTTTCATGAGGAAATCCTTGTTGTAGAAAATATGGTTAATCAGAGTAGTGTAAAGAAACTATCTAGAAATATTACTTTCTTCTTGTTAGTGCATTTCTTTTCAATAGCTTTTCCTGTGCCCATGTGTATTTAGTGTTTATTTTAGCAGTAAGTCGTACTGCGTGTGTGGTTATACATGCTGAACTTTATATTGCTCTTAAGAAATTATGAACTTTTAAATTACTTCTGAAGTGCCTGTGAAGGCTGTCAGAGTTGTGTCATAATTTAGCCATTCTCCAGTTGGACATTTAAATTGTTTATAATATTTTGTTTTTTATAAAGAAAAACATTATCTTAGCCTGTTTTCTGTTATTCTAACTGAACATCACACACTCAGTTACATAGGCTGGGAGGTCCAAGGTTAAGGGTCACATCTGGTGGGGGCCTTCTTCCTGGTGGGACTCTCCAGAGTCCCCAGGCAGCATGGGGTATCATGTGGTAAGAGACAGAGCCAACTAGCATTTGTAACAGGCCCACTAGAGATGAGCCGTTAACCCACGAGTGGACAAGCCATTGAGAAAGGCTGAACCTTCAGGCCTCACCACCTCTTATGGGTCCCACCTTTTAATACTTCACAGTAGGGATAAAATTTCAACTTGAGTTTTAGTGGAATCATTCAAGCCGCAGCAAACACTAACATGATAATTACCCTTTTTTCACTATCTTTAATGTTTTCATGTGATTAAATAGACCTCATTTTGGAAATTTTTAAAATATAAAATAAGCACAGGCAGCTTTTCTGCATTTTCAAAAGCCTTATTTTGTTCCTGCTACAGGGTTATAAACTATATTTTACATCATGCTATATAAGTAGTTTTATGTTAAGATCTTTTTTCATAAAAGTATTTTTTAATGTATTTTCTGGTTTTAGCTAGTTCTTTCGGATAGATTCTCAAAACTGTAGCTATTGCAGCAAAGAGTATGTAAAGAGGTTTAAGCCTTGTGGTGCATGTAACCAAAGCACCTATTCAGAGACTATCCCAGCTTTTCAGTCCTCTAAGCAGAACCAGAGAACTCTTATCCTTTGCGCCTTTTGCAAGCATTTAATATATATGATCGTATTTTTCAACTTTGCCATTGTGTTTGTGCTCTAAAAGTTTTATGAAAATTTTTGAACATAGATGAAAAATTAGCATAACTTTCATTTCTATATCTGCTTTTGGTAACTATTAGCATTTGATTTTTTTTCTGTGTTGAATAATTTAAAGCAGATCTAGAACAGCAAAATATTTTAGTTCAAACACTACCATTTCCAAACAATTATTTCTTACAGATTTTTATTCCATAATTATACCTAGCAAAATTAATGATAATTCTTTAATATGGTTGATTTTCAGTCTTTCCCTGTCTGTAAAATAGTTTCATTACCATTGGTTTGTTAGAATTAAAAGCCAAACAAAGGTTAGCATGAGGCTGTACATGCCTTTATAAGATGCACTCTTAACTTGTGTAACTCAAAACATTAGGCTTAAGAGCAGCACGTTATAGAACAAGTAGAGTTAATGTGTAAAAGTAGCGTGAGGTGACGTTTGCCAAGTTTCTCACAGAGCATGTATGTATTTTGAAGCAGTGTCTTAAATTTTGTACTTTTATTTATTTATTTTGTCAAACATAACTTTATTGTAATGGAAATAGTGATTAAATGGCATCTTTGTTACCTAAAAGAGATGGATACTTGTGCTTTTCCATTTAATGGATTCTTTTTTTTTTTTTGCGGCACCAGGGATTGAACTTGGGATTCTTGTACTTGCCTGACAGTCACTTACATGCTGAGCTATCTATCCAGCCCCTAAATTTTGTACTTCTAAACTTTTCTTCCAATCATTATCTTCATTTTATTCCAAATATATAAATTACCTAAGGTATGAATGAATTATACCAGCTCTATTATAGTATTTGCAGACAATATATGAAGAAAGAAACATTTATGTGAATTTGAAAAATACTGGCATAACTAGGCAAAAGGAGAAATAAGTATATTGGATGAAAGGATATTGCCAGAAGTTATATTTTAGTTTTGAAACTACCCTGAAATTCAACTTTTCTTTCACAGCTGCATTTTATTAGGTTATAATAAACTGCTTATTGAATTGGGTTTCCACCTTAATATAGGCATATATAAAACTATAAATTTATAATCAATACTGATGCTTTTTCTATTATCATTAGGTTATTTCAGTCACGCCTCACTGAAACCCATTTACCAGCTCAAGGTAAAGTAATACTTTCTAAAATTTCTAAATTGTTGATAATTTAGTCTCTAATTATTTTCCCTTAGAAATCAAGTCCGTCTATTATATACATAAGCCAACCCCCCACAAAAAAGTAATCATATAGTGCAAATATGTACTAATTTTTTAAAAAAAAAAAAAGAGTCATCCATCTAGAATATATAAATTATACTGTCTCAGGTAATAGAAAAGAACTTCGATAATAATAATGACCCCTAAATAACCCTACATAGCAGGAATTCTGTCTCAGCACTTGAAAAGAGAAAAACAACAAGCAGATCTTGATGATTTCATCATATTTGGGGAATTAAAAAATCAGACTCCAGGGGCCGGAGAGATGGCTCAATAGAATAAGCACTTGCCTGGCAAGCGCAAGGGCCTGAGTTCAATCCCCAGTTCCGCCAAATAAATAAATAATCAGACTCCATATGTTGTGACTTGAATGAGATGTCTTTAATGAAACTTTTAAGAAATAATGGTCTTTTTTATTTTTCTCATGGAAATAAGGATCATATTTTGGCACTAAGCATTGGCTATGCTAGCCTCCCTAAAATAATTGGTTGGGTCTTACATTTCTTTCAGGTATTTCCTTGAACATTTTGAATTGGTCAGAAAATGGTGTCTAATATTTGTCTTTATAAAGTTTTTAGTCCCATTTGTAAATAAATTGATTTATTTAATGAAAGATCAAGGGAAGGGCCTGCCAGATAGCTTAGTGGATTAAAGCAACTGGGATTTAGTCTCTAGCATTTTGTGCTGGCCCCGCTCCCCCAGGGCACACTGACACTGTGATTGAGACTGGGTGTGGTGGCTTGCACCTGTAATCCCAGGGCTTGGGAGGCTGAAGAAAGGAGGATCACTACATATCTGATCTGTGTAGTGAGACCCCGTAGGTCCTGTACTAACTACATTTAAAAATAAAAAAGATCAAGAGAATGTATTGATGTGATCATTTTATTTGGTATGATTTTCCCTTATTTTTATATATCCTTTTTCTCTCTTAGCTAGAACCTCAGAACCTTTGCATAATGCTCAAATTTTAAACCAAATGATGACATCAAAATCAAGTCCCAGAAAGAACTCCGCTAAGAGTCAGGTAACAATGCTTGTATCTTATATAGAAACTAGGAATGGTGCTAAGCACCTGGCTGCCTTCTGGATCATTGTGTTTGTTTGCCATTGTGACCAACCAGTCAGCCACCCGTTCCTATGGCAGCTTTCTGGACCTGTTGTTATCTGTTTGTGCTCAACTTAAACATAATCTGCTGTTGGGCCTAGGACCCCTGCTGCACAACTCCTATCTTCATTTATCTTCATTTTCCCCCTCAGTTCCTCAAAATGTCAGGCCTGGAAGACCCAGGGGGCGAGGTTTTTATAGGATTACCAAGGGGGTACACGGGTAAAGTCTTTGGCTGTCTTTGATGGTTTCTTATAATATGCATCATAGCAACCAAATATTTCTAAAAGATAGGAGCAACGGGCACTACAGCAGGAACTGTTATCTGGACAGTTGAAGAATACTGGTTGGGGAGACACTCTCTGCAGCACCTAGACACAGACAGAATTCTCCTTAGATCTAAACCCTGCTTAAAAATTCCCAAGCCTCAATCGGGGCTCTGATACTCCCAGACAACCATGTTTCTGGTGTTCCAGATATCCCCTTATATGTCTTTTTTTTTTTTTTTTTTTTTTTTTCCAGAACCAGGGATTGAATTCAGGTCCTTTTGCTTGCCAGGCAAGTGCTTATTCCACTGAGCTATCTCCCCGGCCCCCTTTGTATGTCTTTAATGTCTTTCACTTCATTCTTTTTATGTGCCAGATTGTAATTTTAAGCTTCCTTTTACTGTCCTCAAACTTGAGACCTATCTACTTCTAAAGGAGCAGAAATCATCAGATGACATCTTCTAGTTTTCTGTCACCCATCGATAAATACAACTGCATCATTCCCGGCCATTCCAGTGGGGAAGCATAGCCTCCCACTCATGGCTGCCTTTCATCCTCACAGAGATTTTGTTTTTCCCTGTCAGGAGCTTTTATTTTTGGCAGCTTGTCAACATACAAAAATGCTCGAGTCTCTTCCTAGAAGAGATTCCTCATGTTTCCCAGCTTCTTCCTCCTCAGCGATTCACCAGAGACCTCCTTGAATTTTAATATAATGGAGGTGTTTCTGTTTTACTAGTATAACACTTCTCCAAAAGTAGACTGTTGTCGTGGGCGTTAAACCCACACTAGGCAAGTGTGTTACCAGGAAGCTACATCCTCACTCCTTCGTTTTTTTTAGACAGAACCTTGCTAATTGCGTAGGCTGGTCTTGAGCTTGCAGTCCTCCCTCACCCTCCCAAGTGCATGCTGAGGAGAACAGGTGTGCACCACCATGCCTGGCACATTTCTGACTTTCTGACTTTGATAGGTAGTGCAGACTTTCTTAATTTTCATTGCACACATGCTTGCCAACCTCCTTATTATTTCTGCACTTCCTAACCAAGCTTTTGGTCAGAAGAAATGGTTCTCATTGATGGTCATATTTCCCAGAGCTAGCTCACTGTATGGCATGTGTGAAGTGTTCAGCAAACATTTGTGTAGTGAATGAGTGTTGTGATAGTATTGGGAACTCCCAAGTTACAGTAATACCTTGGGAGAAAATTTTAATTTTTTAAAAATTTGATTTTTTATTGAGCTTAAGAAAGTTTAATAGACCACTAATATTATAGACTGCTAGACAGTGTTAGATTGTTTAGTTGAATTCAAACACCTATAGTATTTAGATGCCAATAGAATATTCACCTCTGACAGGACAAAAAAAAAAAGAATACAGAGGAAAGATCATTTTGTATTTGTAAGTACAAAATAGGATAAATTTACAGCTACTTTTGCTTAATTCAATGAGAAGAAAGAAGTGTACTAACAGTGTTTGGACAGAATATCCTGTCTGCTGCTTGTACTATGGATAACCACTAAGCAGATAACGATGTACAGTGTATTGACTATCAAAACTGTCCTATTAATCAGCTGTGAAACTGTCTCATTCATATTTATTTCTCAATAAAAAAATAAGTAAGTTCAACTAAATTCAGAAATTTTAAATCTTTAAATATTTATTGCCTACCCCTTTCTACTTTGAGAATTCTAATTATATAAATATAATTTTCTTTATTTTGACTCAGAGTGTACTATTATGACTGATCTGTAAATTCTGTCTTCTTTTTCTTATATTGAACAATTTTTATTGTTATATTAATTCATTTGTAAATAATTTATTTACAATGTGCAATCTATTATTCTCATGCTATGTATTCATTTCAGAAATATTTTGCTAAAATTCATTCTGTATACATCTTATATCTTTCACATTTCAGTATTTGTCTATAATTTTTACTATGATATGTAATTACTGATTTTCAATAAAGGTAAAAAAATCAAAAAAAAAGAAAGTTTAATAGGCCACTTTCTCTTGAAAACATTTTTATATTGATCTATGAAGTAATTTGGATGCAGATTATTTTTCAATAGCTGAATGCTCATGTTTTGTCTTTTAGAGTTCAGAACTTTCAAGAATGGTACCTTCAGCTTCTGATAAAGAATCAAATATGCAAGTACAGTCAGTGCATTACTTCATTAACTGTATTCTTTTCAGAGTTCCTTCAGTACATTGTTGTAAATGATGTATTTTTCCCCTGTAGGGAACAAAGGGTGATCATGATTTCTAAATCAGAATACTCCACACACTCTTCTGTAGCAGCAAAAGCTGATATTCAACAAGTTGCTATGTACTGTAAGGAGAAGCTTATTTGTGGAGACTCAGAACTTTCCTTCGAAGAACTGAGAGCCCAGAAGTACAACCAACGGAGGAAACATGAACAATGGGGTGCTTGCAATATTATATTTTTCAGTTATTTGTATGTCACTTAACATAATGAATAATTGTATCTTTGACTGACTAATTGGCTCTGCTGACTCAGCAAAAACCACCTCCAGCTCACCCTATCGCAACCCTCAAATCCTTTGTTAAACACTAGCATAGCCACCATGTTTTTCCAAAAGCTAAATCCATTTCCTCATAGTCGAGCTCATGGTTGAAACAGCACTAAAATAGCTATACCAGTGTCAGCATATCTTTAACGAAATAAGACATTTTAAAATTTTTAAATATTATCTGGGTGGATTTGAACTTCTGTATATAAAACTTGTGTGTCTCTTCTACAGTGAAGGGATTAGGTTAGGAACTGAAAATCTCAGAAATTTTCAAATTCTGAACCTACTACAAACAAAATATGATCAGGAATCCTCTGATCAAAGTGCCACATTATTTGTGGGCTGACTTTTGTTCTTCCCAGAGAAAAATGTGTGCCTCAGCATCTGTGTTTGCACTTGGCCTTTTACAACGTGCACCTTAGGGAGAGGAAGATGAACCTCTGTTCCACTAAGAGCTTTTTACATCATTTACCTTAGCTGAACTGTATCCATCTGTGAGCTTTTCCTTTGTTCATTGCTTTTATATTTGGTCAGTAACAGAAAAAAAGTCAGTTAACATGGAGAACCCACTTGTGTGTTTGGATTTTTGAATTTTGGTTTTTGAAACAGGGTCTCACAATGTATTCCGATGGCCTTGAACTCACATGTAGCACAGGCTGATCTTGAAGTCATGGCTTTCCTCCTGCCTCGGCCTCCCAGTTGCTGAGGTCACCAACATCCACTACCATACCTGGGGGAAAGAAGACTCACTTGGGATAGTGCATGGGGCGTGTTACCTTTCACATGTTACAACCTAAAGTTCCAGCCAATCCCGATTTGTCCAGAATGTGGCCAGGGGAGCCCGTTAGTGGAAGTAGGACTGGCCCATTAGTGTACTTTTCTTTTGCTTCTTAGAAAGTACCTAGAGAATTCCATCTTTTAAAACCTAAAATGAAAAGTTTTAACATGACTCACATAATTATTATTGTTTTATACAAAAGTTTATTATACTGTGCTATTTCCAAATATTACTGTTGATCACCATATAATTTTTATAGCTTATTTACCCTGAATTTAATAATAACTATGGTGAGAGGAAGTAAAGATTATAATTAGAAGGTAACACAAGTTGCAGTTCTCAAATCTAATAAACAGTGAAAATGCCTTTTATTCACTTTGCATGTTTTTCTCTGCTGACCTGGAGTTAAGGCTTATGTACAAGCCATTTTTTTATCTTTCATAAAGGAAATGAAGACAGACATTTTATGAAAAGGAAAGAAGCAAATGCTTTTGAAGAGCAACTGTTAAAACAAAGAATGGATGAACTGCATAGGAAATTGCATCAGGTGGTAGAACTGTCCCACGAAGACCTGCCCACTCTCCAGGAAAGCTCTGAGGTACGTACATGCTCTTCCCTGGCACGTTCTGTGCCCAGCATGATGATTATTGCCCTCTTACCTTGTTTTTAGAGGTAATTCTCACTTAGCTAATGACTTTCAAAAAAAATTTTAAAAAACTTTGACACAGAAAGATTTTCAAAATACAGAATGAGCAAAAGAATTTATAGAGACCAGAATGGCTAGTATTTTCGTAAATGTATGCATATGTGTTTATGTAGTCACCTGCTAGCATATGTAGTTCTTTTTTTCTGGCTTTTGTAAGATGAATACATAATAGGAATTTGAATACAGTTATTTAAGATATTTTAATAAAAAGTTCTGACGGGAATATAGTTTGGCTGATAAAATTAGTCATAAACATGATACAGTGGTCCTAGGCCTCACTGTACTGCTTGAATATTTCAGCTATTCATTTTTAAATAAATATCTGAAGGGGTAAGGGATGCTTCAAAAGAGATGGAATCTAAATGCCAAGCTTTGCAAAACTCTTGATTCCTGTTTAGTAGTGTTCTTAACCTTGGGATTTTATTTTTGTTTATATGCTTGACACGAAAGGCTAATCCAGTACATACAGGGCGAAGTGTAGGCTCCCAGGAGGAACAGAGAGCTCCGTGTCCTCCAGCCATCAGTCAACAGACCTCAAAGAACTTGGGAGAGAAACTCAGAGACGTGCCTCCCATCGTTCCTCTTACGGCAGGTGCTGCTTTGGTGTCCCCAGCCATCAACCAGAGTGTAGCTCCTCCTGTTTCTGTGACAGCCCAGGCAGTAGCAGGCAACAGGTGAGCCACAGATGGACCTAGAGATAGCAGTGACGTGGATGGCATCTTTACATGATCTATCAAGAATGACGTGTAAAAGATGAAAGAGTCTAGAATTTTTAAAATACTCTTTAAATGGGAATGAGTATGTTGGTGAAAACCATTATCAAAGCACTGATTGCAAATGTTTCAGACTTACTTAGTCCATGCTTTGTTTTCAAGTATTTTAGTTCATTCTTCTCTCTTGAGTTACAAGCACTTGATTCCCCGAAACTCTCCAGGATTTCTGGGCCTGGAAAGTAAACAGCCATAGGCTGAGCATGCTTTTACTTACTCACTCCGAGCCCCTGCAGGCGCTGCACAGTGCTGGCAGTCTCTTGGTGTGTGTGTTTGTGTTCTTGCCACCCTCCAGTGCATGCCGTTCGCAGTCTGCCTCACACTGCTGTGAAGGTTTCCCTCCAGTTCTGAGAAATTTTTCAGATTCAGAAATTGTAATTAATATCGCAGCACTTGATTACATTTTTTTACTTTTAACATAAGACTATATTTTTAAATAAATATGTAATATATATGATAATATCCAATCTATATTAGGAACAAAGACAATATAATTTTATCGCATTTAAATTGTATCACAGAGGGATGAAAGAAAAATAGAATAATCAAAGAGCCAACATTCTTACAGGTAAATTTATATTTTTAATTGTAATTTGTCTCAAATAGTACATAGAGGAAGGGAATTAACCTGCCAGTGTCCGGCGTATGCCAGATGCAGTCTTTCACCTTCATTTACTACAGTGCTCTTTAAAAAAATGTTTAATTTCCTTACTCCATGGACCTAAGCATTTGCATCTGAATTTTAACAAAAAACATGTAATTGTTGCTAATTTATTTTCCTATTGTTTCTTGAAAGTTGAAATTTTTAAGATGCAAAGCATTTTTATTCTTTAGTGTATCTCAAGAGCTTTTTCTTCCAGATGTTTGAATCTAAATTCTCATGATCTCAAGCTACAGAGTGGACCCGAGACAAAGGAAGGTAATGTTTCCTCATCGTAATTTCCGTCCCTATTTGGCACACTTTTGGGCTGCTCAGAACCTTGCTGTGGCTGTGGTATGGGAAGTCTTCGGACCTTGCTAAGCCTAAGTGTTACCTTCCTCTTGCCATGGGGCAGATTATAGAAACCCCCAACCATTTCAAATGAAAGGCGTATTTGGTATAATAGGTGGGGAACAGTGATACAAAGTTAGTTAACAAAAAAGAGTAACATCCTTACCAAAAGAAAATGTTATTCTTGGGGTTGGAAGGTTGAAATTTCAGAGAAAGTAAACAAGTAAACATGATGTTGAAAAGAAGGTTATATTTGGATAAAGGACCACAGGAGAGCATGCCACGAACCTGTCTCAGGAAGAGGGGACAGGAAGAAGAGCCCTAAGGCAGGAATATTCCTGCTGTGTTCTGAGCACAGCAGTGATGCAGAATGACCTGGAAAGGAAGAAGCAGCAGCTAAGACCTCAGCAAACAAGGCCAGGGTGTGCAGGCCTTGTCCACCAACGTCTGGCTCCATTGCAATGGAAAGTGGTCTGAAGATATATAATAGGAGAGAGGAGAGAAGATTTACTCTGTGACTATGAGCATGTAATACTTAGGAGATAGTGCGGTAAGGATGCAATTGATGACAGAACTCTACCTTGGAGTATGCTCAGACCAAACATAATCTCTTTGAATCCTACTTCCTAGTGCTCTTACCGAGCTAAGTCTGAAATATAATCACAGAACTCTTTCATGATAATCGTTACAGTGACAAGTAGAATTTAAAGTATTACTGCATTTGTGTCCCATTTAACATGTTCTGATTTGGCTGTTGAAACTGTGTCTTGTCCTATTCCTCTACCAGGATGTGAAACACATAAGGTCACTAGCACCAGTTCTTTTCACACTACTCCAAACACATCACTGGGAATGGTTCAGGCAACACCATCCAGAGTGCAGCCATCACCCACCGTGCACACGAAGGAAGCATTAGGTAAAGCATTCTGTTAGGTCTGTAGAGACTGCAACAAATTAATGGGTGCTCTTTTTCCACCTGTTGACAAGTATTTTTTTCTGTTCTTTAAGGTTTCATCATGAATATGTTTCAGGCTCCTACACTTCCTGATATTTCTGATGACAAAGATGAATGGCCATCTCTAGATCAAAACGAAGATGCATTTGAAGCCCAGTTTCAAAGTAATTATTCACTATTTAAAAGATACTGAATACATAGCACTGTGGGAAGTTGCCACAGGCATCATAAAGGAAATATATAATAGGGAAGGGTCTATAGGGTGTTCAGGGTCTCAACACTAGATCGGACTCATAGTGATCCATCTGTTCACAGCCTCCCAAGAGCTGGGATTACAGGCGTGCACCACCACGACCAGTCTCAAGTGCAGGCTCAGCATGCCCTGGGGGGGTGGGGCCAGTGCAGCAGGCCCAGGGATCAAACCCCCGGCCCCTGCACATGCTTGCAGGCTCTAATCCTCTGAGCTATTTGGCCAGCACATGAAGGATTATATAAGATTGTGGCTGTGCCCTATATTAGTGCCTCATGTAAGGGTTAGGGAGGCACGAAATAAAAATGTAGCACTTTGACATAGTTACAATGTGTATGATAGGTTTGGCTTTCTTGTTTTATTATTATTATTACAGATAAGTGTTTTTAAAAATTCTAAGATTAGGAATAGTTGAAAGCCTGAATACTCAAGGTATGTCTGGAGCCCTTCCTAATATAGAGGTGGCGAGGTGAAGTATCGGAGGCCAGTATCTAGTCAACTTGTCTATAATTAGGAAGGTGAGACCCAGTTTGATTTGGGAAGACTAGGAATATAAAGCTGAAAGATTAATTTTTTTTTCTTAAATGAAATAACAAGACCATTGAAAGCTTTTGGTAAGTAAATGAGATGATAACTGTAATGTCACAGGATAGTGGTGAACATTGGTCTTTATACATGATGAGAACTCTGGGGGCCTAAGTGCCAGACCCAGTGGCCACGGTTCAGTCCCTTCCTGTCACTACAAACGACTTGTAATCTTGAGTGTTTTAAAATTCACCTGAGTTCTTTTCTATGAGCTGTTACTTCTTTACTTTGTACTTGAAATTTAGCATAAAGGATTGGGGTTTTTTCCTAAGACAATAATGAAATGCTATTTTTTTTTATTCTCTTTCAGAAAATGCAAATTCTTCTGGGGCTTGGGGAATCAATAAGATTATTTCTTTGCCGTCTGGTTTTCCTATTTTTGAAGATGGAAACAAAGAAAATTATGGGTAAAGCAACATAGTTAGAACAACATTAGAAGGGATGTGTGCTGTCACAGTGCCCCAGCATGCTACAGAATTCAAAACAGTGGAGTGGAGAAGGGAGAAATGTGGGCCAGATGGCCTAAGTTCTTGTCCTAGCTCTGCCACCTCTGAATTTTTTGACCATGTGACCAGGAACGTGTGGCCAAAGTTCCCTCAGTCTGCATTGCTGTGCTGGAGTCCCAAGAGAACAGGCTTTCAAAGTAAAGCATAATTGAAAAGGGAACAGTGTGGTTGAGTATAAGTTGTCAGAGAACTGACGGTATCCGAATCTGAAATTGTATTATATGCGGCTGAATCTACCTGTTCAGGTGTCTATGTGTGCTCTTCACATTTGCAGGACTAATAAAGTAGAAAAAGAATTCTCTTGTGTTGAACGATGCTGCAGAGAGAATATATTTTAATTATTCTCTCTCGCTGCAGAGAGAATATATTTTAAAGTGGAGGGACGGGCTGGAGAGATGGCTCAGTGGTCTAAAGCACCTACTTAGAACAAGCTTGGCAAGGCATCAGGGACCGCAGTTCAATCCCCCAGCA